ATACACATAATTGAATCACTGTGCTGTACATCTGAAACTAACACAATATGATAAATCAATTATACTTCAATAAAAAATATAGTATAAGCAAAAAAGTATAAGCCATTAAAATAGTTGTCCCAGGAAACAGGATTTGGATAATGGGGCAATGGATATTTCCTTTTTTTTTTTTTTTTAAAATATGTATATATTTGGGGCAGGGGTTGGGGAGAGTGCTAGTGTTGGTGTATATGAGATGAATGGCAGGTAATGTTTTTGTGGATTCTTACCCTTTTGCAAGAAAAAGTTAGGTGGGACCCCTGACTTACATGGGATAGGTCATAGGGAGCTACTGCTGCTATGTGCATATAAACAGAAATAATCTTCATCCATATCATATAATCAACTTTTAATTATACTGGTAAAACTGAAAGTCTTTGACAAAGAGTATTAATCAGAATTTACTGAGCATCTTGTATGTTTGAATTGTAATATATAATTATTGATATTTACCAAGTGCTTATTGTGTGATAGTTATTGAATTATCCCATTTAATTGTCACAACAATTCTTTAAGGAAGTTACCATTATTATTTCCACTTTACAGATGAGAAAATTGAGATTTAGATTTAGATTGAGAAATTAGGTGGCTTCTCCAGGTTTGCACAGCTAGTAAGTGATAGAGCCACTTAATTGCTTCAATCCATCATCCTTTTTTCCTAGACATTTTTTTAAATGTGTAAATATTTTCTGTCATTGCAAAGTGAAAGATTCAGACTGATTTATGTATTTTTTAATATTAGTACTTGTTGCTGATTTCAGATCAGATAGCTAATTGTAACAGAGACTGAGATTGCCAGGCACTAATAATCTACCAGGAAGTTTGTTTGCTTGATTTTTAAAAAATCTTTTTTGTTAAGGAAAATTTGAAACAATATGAAAGCAGAGGTAGAATAGTGAAGCTGCAAGTCTCCACAGTTTTTACATAGTTTTATTAACTCATGGCCAGTCTTATTTAATCTACTTTTACCTCCTACCCCCTGGATTATTTTGAAGCAAACCCCAGGCATTATTTAATTTTACCTATAAATATCTCAACATCTACCTCTGAAATACAAGGACTCTTTAAAAAAAGTAACCACAATATCATTATCTCACCTAAAGCAATAGCAGTTCCTTAATGTCATTAAATATCCAGTCAGTGTTTAAATTATCTTATAATTTTCTTTTATATAATTTGTTTGGATCAAGATTGAAGCAAGACTCATAGATTGCAATTGTTTGTTTTCCTTAAGACTTTAAAAAAATATAGAAACCCTCTCGCCATCTCTTCTTTTCCTGCTTGCAATTTGTGCGTTAAAGAAGCCAGTTTGTCCTATAGGATTTGCCACAGTGTGGATTTTGCTAATTGCTTCCTTGTACCTCTGGTTCCCTGTATTTTCTATAAATTGTCATTTCAGTTTAGAAGTTTGACCAGAATCATTTTTTATTTTTCTTGTAGGAGGAGCAGATTACTTCAGCGGTATCCTTGTGTCCTATCTGGAAGGCACACAGTGTCTGATTATTTCTTTTCGGTGGTGTTAGCAGCCATTAGTGAGCACTGTCTACTTTCATTATTTCATTAGTGGCTACAAAGTGGCAATATTCTAATTCTGTCATTCTGATATTCCCTTTTTAATTTATTAGCTAGAATAATTCTATAAAGAAACAAACTTTTTGGCCAACCCAATACTTCCCCTTATCTGCTGTTTTGTTATTTTAACATACAGCTCGTAACAGTATAGGCAGGATACGTGTTTGATTTTTTTCTCTTCATGTATCAATTTCGTATGAATGAGTTGGTTGCCTAGTGTCTTTCCGAGGTAACTAGTTTTTTTTAAAATAACATGTGACCTCATGAATTTAAACATATTTGATGTGTCTTAATCCTTTGCTGATATAATTCTTATTGATGATGCAATTGTCCCACTGTTGGCTAGTTGGAGCTTCTTGGAGTGCGCTCCCGAGCCCTTTTGATGCTCCATCAGGAGTGCCTCACAGCTTTCTTGCTCTCTAGTATGACCAAATTTCTAGATTCTTAGGTTCATCTTGTATGTTTCCTCTCTTAGATGTGGAATAAGACGTTTTACAAGGAGTTCTAGTTTCTTTTAAGGGAAATGGTATTTGAGTGCTGGGAATGTTTGTTGCTATTAGTTTGTTTCTTGCTTCTAGGGTTTTTCTGTGGACAGAGCTAGGAAACAGTGTTTTTTTTTAAAAAAAAAATGTAAAATCCATTATAAATTCATACTGATACTCAAAATTCAAATTTTGGGCTCCAGAATTTTAAAACTCGTATTGGCTTATACTTGTTTGTTTTAGAAAATTCTAATACCTAACTGAACCAATGTAATTACTTGTTTGCTTTATCTCACAGTGCACATGTAGTAGCCTGAGAATAACAGTGCCAACAATGTGATTATTGAAAGTAGTTTTTAGAAAAATTTTGTACCTTTTTTGTCAGTAGGATATATCTCTCTAGGGATTGTGTTTTAAAGTCATTAGAACTGGTTAATCTGTGTGGTTTTGCCACCAACTGTATATATAGTTACATTTATTTGTTTTGTTTTGATTCATAGGAAATGCTTTTTAAAAATCTAATTTCTAAAAATTATTTCCAAAGTTGAGTCTACAAAAGTTATAAAGAAGTCTAACTCCTATCCCTATCCCTGAACTCTGCTTCCTGCTTTCCTCTACAGCTATACTGTCCAATCAGCTAACCGCCAGTGCATGTGGCTTTTAACATTTAAATTAATTAAAATTCAGCATAATTAAAAATTAGTTCTTCATTCACACTTGCCACATTTCAGGTGTTCAGTAGCTACATGTGGCTAGCTATCATACTGAACAGATTTTAGAACATTTCCATTCTTGCTGAATGTTCTGTTGGACAGCCCTGCCCTAGAGAACCCATTGTTTTTGCATTATTTAATTTGTTCTTCTACTTTTTAAAAATATAAAAAGTTGTGTATATAAATTTATAACCCTCCTTCTTCATTAAATGGTAGCATACTATACATGCTTTTCTCCCTCTTCCTTTTCTTAATATATCCTGGAGATCACTTCAGATGGCAGAGAATATACAGAGGTAATCCGCATTCCTTTAATAGCTTCATAGTACTGTACTGTACTGTACTTCACTGTGTGGAGGTTTACAGTATATGCAGCCAGTTGCCTATTGATGGTCATTTTGATTGCTTTAGTCCTTTGCCACTACAAAAGTGCTACATGAATAGTAGTGCTACCTTGTGCATGTGTCATTTTCATTTATTACTAGTGTATACTTTTTTGTTTTTGTTTTTGTTTTTTTGTTTTTTTTTTGGCGGTACGCGGGCCTCTCACTGCCGTGGCCTCTCCCGCCGCGGAGCACAGGCTCCGGGCGCGCAGGCCCAGAGGCCGTGGCTCACGGGCCCAGCCGCTCCGCGGCATGCGGGACCCTCCCGGACCGGGGCACGGACCCGCATCCCCTGCATCGGCAGGCGGACTCCCAACCACTGCGCCACCAGGGAAGCCCGTACTAGTGTATACTTTTAACACTAATTTCGTCAGTGGGCTTTTCATTTCTTGTAAATATTAAGAACAATTATAATTATAAAAGTGATCCAATTCCAGACGTTATTTTGGTATATTATGTATACCTTGGTTTGCAATTTTTTTTCAGTTCCTGAGTTCAGTTAAAAAGAATACTCAGTGTTTTCAGTATTTTTCAATGACTGTGTGTAGTTGAGATCATATTTATACACCAGTTTGAATTTTTCTTTTTACTGTAATAGTATAAGCATCTTCCTTGTTAACACAGACTTTCTGTAAACATTTCTAACAGTTGCATGATACTAGGCTATATTGATTTTTTCAATACTTTCCTTAATTCTGTTAGTTATTTTGCAGTGGTTAGATTAGCTTGCTTCCTTTTTTGGTTTTGTTTTTTGTTTTTTTAATTGTACTGCATTAAATATTTGTGCATAAACTTTCCCCCTATTTTTAGGGTAATTTTCTTGGTATCTGGCAATGGAATTATCAGATCAAAGATTAAAAGCATAATTAAAGTTTTAATATATTTTGCCAACTTTTTTCCCATTATTTTCTTGACAGCCATTCTGGAAGCATTGAGAAATCTGTGATAATTTGATAGGTTTAAAAATGGTTATCTGAGGTTGAATGTTATTACGTGCCTATAGTTTGTATTGCTTGCTGTGGGTCTTAACATGTATTTGCCCGTTTATCTTTGGACTTCATATTTTTCTTATGGCATGATATGAGGTATTTATTGTTAAGGGTGGTAACCATTTTTCTGTCATGTTGCAAATGTTTTTTCATCAAGTGCTTTAATTTGCTTAATTTTTTTACATACTTTCAGTTTTACATTTTTCTGCAATTTTAGATATTTTTCTTTGGTTTTGTTAGCAGTCTTGTCCTTTACCACCATCCCCCAACACCCCACCCCACCTCCCCCCACCAAAAAAAGAAAGAAATTGGTGATTTGATCATAATTCACCTGTTAAAAATCAGCGCTTGTGTTTATTTTAAATCTTAAGATTCAAGGGAGTCAAATGCAATTAACATTTATTCAGAAGCAAGTATATGTCAGGTACTTTACATGTTCTCTATCTAGGCTATGACAGTTTGTCTTTTCTCCAAATACTGTAGACAACTGTGAAAATATAGATGAATTTAAATTAAATTTAAAAATTATAAGCAGCATATTATTTTGCTTTTAGTATGTTTCATTGTAATTAACTGTAGAAATCTATTTCATGAAATATGATGAGTTTCCTTCCCCCTTCCTTAATTGTAGGGGAAAAAGTGTATTTTCTGGTCCCTCCTGTGAATTGTGGACCACAGATACAGAGAGAAAACAAATTGCACATACATGAATATTATCCCCAGCATCTGAAGACTCTAAAAAATGCTCTTCAGGATTGCCATGGATTTTTCTGAAGAAAAGAATCTGTGAAATTATGTGAATAGAGACCATTTTTCAAAGCCATGGGGGAAAGAGAAAGAAGTCCAGATACTGGTAAAGAAAGTAGGGCAGGCAGACACTATTACTCTTACTGTTCATCTGATTTTGGAGCTACACCACAGTCTTCTGGCCGGTCATCGCTGGTCCATCCCTCCTCACCTGCAAGTATTAAGGGAAAAAATCCTAAAAAACAAATTTCAGACAGCCAAGCGCATCATCAAGGTAAGCATCCTTTAAAAAAGTCCATATTCATTTTGAATGCTTAAGGAAAACATGTATGAATGAAACTCTTCTATTAATATGTATATGGATATGTGCATGGAAATGGGATGATTTACATTTAGAATAGGATATATTTTTATAAATGTTGCTTATGGCACTGTGTATTATCCTTTGTTATATTCAAAGTCATACGGTATACCAAAGAAAGAACCATAACTGAGGCTTCTCATTTTGATTTCTCTTGTTCCTAAATAAATGATTATCTTGGAGTTTGTGAGGTACTGTAAAGGCAAAAAAAACACAAACCCACAAAACATGTGGACCTTCCTTTATCTTCAATTTCAAAAAGTAGTGAGAAGCATTGATATAAAGTGGTTAAGGGGCAT